AGGTGCTTTCTTATGAGGCACACGTGAAACGCTTCATCGGAACCGGGGGGGGGGGAGACACTTGGATCGCTTCTTACCTTTCTGGTCAGCCTCTGTTTTATCTCTCTCCTTTCCTCCTGTTCGGTTTGGTCATTTCTTTCTGCGGAAAAGATGAAGAGAGAGATGACTTTCCTCATGGGGACCAGCTCGGGCCGCCTCCCCCCTCTCTGCCTCCACTCTACCAGCTCAGCTCTCCTGCCCACCTTGCCTGGTGTTCTGCCAGGGGCATCACACACCGCTGGCACGCCGGAGCCAATGTCAAGCCTCTGCGCCGATGCCCAATTAAAGCGGGCTCCGGCTAACACAAAGCAGCCAATCCCCTCCTTCTATTAGGAAAATGAGGGGCGTTCCTTTCCTTCCTTTCTGTGGTTCCCCCCTCCCCTCCAGAGGGAAAATCGATAGACTTTTAGGAGTCTAAATGATCGTTTTGCGATGCCACATCTCTGTCTGAGTCATCTGTGCTGCCCTTACAAGCTGGAACATTGTATAGCAGCTGCTTCAGGGAACGCACGTTCCTCATACCCTTCCTCTCCCAGGCTCCCGTAATTTTGTTGATTAATTTATAACAATAGCCAGCACCGACTCCCACACATTCCTCTGCCTCCTGCTATTCTCGCCCTGCCAGTCTTAATATAGATCCTCGAGATCTTTTTGAGGGTTTCCTTTTCCCTCTCTCGCTCGCTCCCTCTGCCTTCTCCACGAAGCGATGCTGTCTCCTCACCTAAGCCCGCTGGCTTCCCTGTGCCGTAACTATTAGTATGCAAGCTGCGAGAACTCCTACGTGATGGAGCTAAAAATAGACCAGAGCGCTGTAACGTTGTGTGAAATATATCCTTAGCCTTGAGTTACGAGTTAATGGATTTTTTTTCTTTCTATTTCAAGGGCTGCCTGTGACTAAAATAAGACATGCACCCGTGACCTAGAAAGAGCTAGAAACCTATGGGGGGAAATTGTTATCCGTCTTTAAAATGCGGGGGGGGATAATACCGAGCCAACCCCGCTTTGCAAAATGATAATTCTAGACAGCTGGGGGGCATTTTCTGCCATACATCAGATGTATGCTTTTTGCATGCATCAGCGAGCTAACGAGCATTAAAGATGTTGCTTGGATGGGGAGGAGGGAAAGGGGGAGTATTTTTAGAATCAGATTCTCTTTCGCTGCTGCTATCTATGGACCACTTTCAAAAGGCAGCCGCATGGAGCTATTTATAGAAGGATAGTGGCTGCGAGCAGCGCGTTGTAACTGGGGAGAGCCTGAAATCTCCACAGCCTTGACAATCAGCGTGCCAGGCAGCATGGCGAATACACACAGTATCTCATTCAATTGTAGTTCTATTTGGGCAATGAAAACCATCAGCAGAAATGGGCAGATTTCTGCTTGGGGGGAGGGGGTCCTAGGATGAGCCAACAGATAGGACAAAACACACACCAAATGAGAAAAACCACGTTATAAAAATGCTAACTTTGGGGAATCGACAGCAGTCTCATGACAAGTAGAAATAATACCCTATTTGGCCCGATATTTTGTTGCCTAGGAAAGATCAGCAAACACACATAATGTGACCTACTTTGTTCCTGACATGGGTAGGAATCTGCTTTAAAAAGAGAGAAAGAGAGAGAGAGAACAGATGGAGCTTCTGCTTTGCCATGAAGTCAAACTCCACATTCAGAGGCACTAAATCTCTGAATCCCAGAGCCAGGAGGCAACATCAGGGGAAGGCCTCGCCCTCTGTGCCCTGCTGTTGGCCCTCCAGAGGAACTGGTTAGCCACTGTGTGAGACAGGATGCTGGACTAGATGGACCACTGGTCTGATCCAGCAGGGCTCTTCATATGAAAGCCTCAGCCTCTATGCCCTTGCTTTTGGTCATTCGGAGGAACTGGTTGGCCACTGTGTGAGACAGGATGCTGGACTACATTTACCACTGGTCTGATCCAGCAAGGCACTTCTTACATTCTTAACTCCTGCCTCTGAAAAATCCCAGACACATGGGATTACTTAGCTGTAAATCTGTGGGAATGCTCTCTGTGCATGCTTAAGGCATTCCATCATTATGGTTCCCAGTGACAAAGGGTTAAAAATAAGTCTAACCCCAGCTCAAATTCCACTATCAAAGGAGTTGCAAAGATATATTTCAGTTCAGATGCGCATCACTGCTTCTTCACTGCAGTGGGATCTCTTGCAGCTCCAGTAACATTTGAATAATCAGGCGGGTCACTGCCACTGGCCACTATCCAGAGCTGATGAGTGAACTTCCCACTTGATCAGCCTGTCTCCATAATTCAGCCATGACAATTCCAGCCATGGGACCCAGCCATGGCGAAGTGGCTCCCTCACTGCACTAGGGCTGCCAGCCTCTCCAGGTGGCACCTGGAGATCTCCCACTATTACTATTGATCTCGAGATGACCAAGGTCCATCCCCCTGGAGAAAATGGCTGCTTTGGAGGGTGGACTCTATGGCATTGTACCCTGTTGAGCTCCCTCCCCTCCCCAAACCCCACCCTCTCCAGGTTCCACCCCCAAATCTCCAGGTATTTCCCAACCCAGAGCTGGCAACCCTACACTACCCTAATATATGAATCCACCCTTCATCTGAATGGACTAATCCGATGCAATGGCTTGAGTTCTCTTAACCATTAAGGACTCGAAACATGATGTGGACCTTCCGTTTAGCCTTTGCCGATGAAGGAATTCCAGTCGGCCTTTCGTTACAACCTTGATTTGTAATATCTCAGTGTTACACTTTTAATGGGGAAAACAAGAGCTCTGCAATAGCAGGACCAGTTAATTATTCACAGGTCTAGCTTTGGACCCATCAGTCCTAATGAAACACCTCCGCCAACTCTACAGCACTGGGCCCAAGAGAGTAATTTAGACTCCCTCTCTTGGTGAGGTTTCTAAATTAGCTCTGACACTGAAACAACTGACAGATTAAGAGGGAAACAATTGCATTCTGATGAAGGCAAACTGCCTCCATAGGAACTTCACTCTGCTACTCTCCAAAAGCAACCTAGGAACTCTCTGCAAACAGCCAAATCCATTTCCCCTCCATTTCAAAGGTACCATTGCTGCGGAAGAAGCTCTGATGGTTGCAGTTGGTTCTTTCCAGCCACAACGGCCAAAGGTCTAGGAAGCCGGGGAAGGCACAGATTTTGTGGCACATGTGCTAGGTTACTGCACACTGGGGCCTTCCTGCAGGCATTCTGTGCAAGCCAAAGACATTGTCTGTCTCTGATGCCCTCCCCTTGATTTTAATTTCTTCTGCTTGCTGCCATTTAAACTGCTGAATGACCGTTCTGCTGCTGGTTAAATTGGTCACTGTATTTTCAACTGAATTGTTTGGATTGTTCTGGATGTTAAGAATATAAAAAACGCTAAGAGAAGCCAAGTTGGATCAGTGTTGGATCAGGCCAATGGCCCATCCAGTCCAACACTGCGTCACACAGTGGCCAAAACCCAGGCGCTACCGAGAGGAAAACTGGGATAACAACCAGTTTTCTGAAGAAGAAGAAGAAGAAGAAGAAGAAGAAGAAGAAGAAGAAGAAGAAGAAGAAGAAGAAGAAGAAGAAGAAGAAGAAGAAGAAGAAGAAGAAGAAGAGGAGGAGGAGGAGGAGGAGGAGGA